CCCCCCCAAGGCCCCCGTCGCGCACGCACCCCGAAGCAAGACCCTCGCCGACGACGACCGCCACCGCCGCGGCCGCGCCGGCCCCGCCGTAACTGCTGCGCCCAGCCGCCCCAGATGCGCGGTTCTGTCCGCACGCCACACACACACACACACGCCATAATTTGAAGCAATTATCAGAGGCGCAGCAGCAGCAGTGTCCCAGCCGCATCACACATCATCAAAAACCCCTCCCCCCATGTCATAACGCATCACGCCATCGCCATCCTTGTCGCTCCCGCAGCCGGGGCCGCACCGCCGGCGACAGGAAGCGGCGTCCCGGAGGGGCCCTGCAGGGCGAATAATATCAGAGTCAGAGAGAGAGAGAGACGGCCACGGCTGCCCTGGGGCGGTGCGGGGTGGCGCCGCCGCCGGCAGGTCGCCGCCCGCGGGCTAGCGCAGGGATGTGATGCTCCGAGGAAGTGCACGATGCGCCCGTGTGCGTGCGTGTGTGCGTGCGTGTGTCGCACTACAGACATTCCGACGACAAACCCACGCAAGAGGGTGCGACGGGCCGTGAAGTTGAGAGTGCCCCGCTCTGCTGGTCCAGTGGCTGCGCTATGGTCCCCCCGCCGCCGGCGCGCTCAAAGCGTATCTCTCTATCGGACACGATCAATCAGACGGAACACTACCCGTGCCCGAGTGTCAGCTGGGGCGGGCCGAGGTGTGCTGCCGGTGGGTGGGACCAGAGACATGGCGGCAGGCACGGAATGCACGGGGCGGTTCAAACGGACAGCGAAAACAGCAGCCGACAACCATAGCAGTAACACTACACTAAAGTATAACTCGGCCGGCACGCTTTAGGCTTTAAGGGTTCTAAGAATTTTAGCGCCTCTACAGAGGTACAAGAGGCAGTGAAGTTTTACGCAATTCGTCCAAATTTAGGAACAAAATTGGTCCAAATTTAGAAACAAAATAGCACCCGGTCTCGGTGTGCACGAAAACGCTGCCGTTTTAGAAAAAAAATTGTCCCTTCACATTTAAAGTGTAAAGGCATGGGTAAAGGGGAAGGGGTGGAAAACGCAAACCAAGATGCCCATTCATGGAGAAAGATATTTATTCTTCGTTACACAAGTACAAGTTGGGAGGTGACTACAATATGCTGAGCCGCTGTAGTATCGTATGCTGTACGTGTTTTCTCCATCTTTTACATAATTAGTCGAAAAGGGACATAATTTTTGGCAGCCTTTTGACAGATTCCCACGTCACCTGATCAGTACCAATCTCATGGCAGCCAAAGTGGCATTCATTGAAATGACAGAACAGTGTGCCTAACCATTTTATCTGTAAGGTATTCGCCTTGAGCAAGTCAAGAACAGATTTATTTGTCAGCCAGATGTGCAGACATCCCGCTGAACGAATCGCAAGTTGGCTCAGGCAGGGAGCAGTTTCAGGCCGCAACATCATCATGACTTTGTTTATTCCCAACAACCTCATATCACTGGGAACATCAAGAGTAAGAGATTGCAATTTAGGCAGATTCGGCAGTACAGGTGCCAGAACCTCGTAGAATTCAGGATATCGACAGATATTAAAGCATTTTAATGTCAAAGATAATACTCCGGACTGTTCAGAATCAGCCAGCGCGGCAAGCAGGGTTAGAGATTCATTGTTGGGTATAGTAATGTCCACGTGAGTGAGTTGGGTGGCCGTGCGCAGAAGCTGTCCAGCGGAGTGCAGAAGACTCTCCAACTCCGCCATGCCGGGCATGACGTTCAACGCATAGACATTCAGCGTCAGGGCTGTCAGCGTCTTGCACGCCTGCAGGCGATGCATGCCGTGAAGAGGTGGGCACGTAAGCTTTTTCAGGTTGGGCATTTTGATGAGGGAGTCGACGAGGTTAGGTGCGACGTCCCACATGTCGCTCGGTCTCAATATGTGCAGGTCTACTTCCTCCAAAGTCGCGGCGTGAGCGTCTAGCAGCATCTTCAGGAGGGGGTCACTCGCCTGGCTATCGTACGCAAGCCTCTTCAAGCTGGACTCGCACTTGGCCTCGTGCTTGTACTCCCTGGCGGTGCTGCCCGTCTCGTAAAGATCAACGTCCATGTCCACCTCCAGGACGGTTAGGCCCTTCGCAGCCAATACTACATCCAGCACATCGTGGAAATTCGCATTCACATTGGCGCAGTCTCTGTTGTAAAATATGACCGACAGTTCTCTGAGGCGCCCGAGGGCCAACTGGTTGCGAATTATGCCACCGGAAAAGTCACCGATGACGTCCAGAGCGAGCCTAGCCACCGCGCATTTCATTTCGCTGGACGACGCAAACTCCTGACTCGCGCCGAATCGCATCACCAGTAGGTGGAGGCAAGGCGCCAGGCGAAGTATCGGACTTGATACAGATGGAGATCCAGGGGCCACGACCCACCCGGACGGATCGCCAACAGTCCGCCATCGCCACAACTCGGGGACGGCAGCAAGATCCCTAAGGCGGCGGCAAACCGCGCGGCAGCGCAGCAGATCCTCTGCGCCAACGTACTGGAGCACCAGCAGCAACTCATCGTCACCGAGAGCGTCCATCTGGGGGGCAGAGAGTTTCGCCATGAGTTTCGCCATGAGTTTCGCCATGATCCATCCTCCTCTACGAGCGCCACGCCACATTATAAGCAACAGGCTGAGATATCCCGCACTCCCCCATCTCATTTTGACAAAAAAGGGGCACATACATGAAGTTTTCAAACATCACCAAACTTCTTCAGTCTACACCAGACGCAGTCGGCTTGTTACTTGTACACGCTATTCATTCGCCGAGTTCAAAGTGGCTTTACACGCCGCGCGGTCAATGACACCCCTCGTAACGCGCCGCGCAACTATTTACACGCGCCTTAGCGCCCGCTACCATTTGTCTGCCCCCCCCCCTCCCCCCGCCGCTCGTCGATAGACGTTTTTCAATAACCTCTTTCACACATGAGCTGAATGTTAATTACCCGCTTAAGCTCCACTGCACACCCCCCCCCCCCCCACCTTCCCACTCCAACTACCCAAGCCGTGTGGCCCTTCTGTTAGTTCGAACACTGCGGCGGAACTCCGCGTTCGAACGGCCGCCGCGGGCGTTTTGTTTCAAAAGGGGGATTTCGTACAGAGACAAAGCGGTGCTTGATCTAATCGGCGCCGGGGCTGGCTGCAGCAGTACGTACTACACACGGCCACGACGACGACGGCATTCCTCTGGTTATGTTTTCTTTTTCGGGACAGAGACGAAAAAGCAGGCGGGGCTCGCGGCGGCGGTGCCGTTGTATATATCGATCGGGCCGCGCGCCGAAAACGCTCCCCCGTTCGTTAGTGTCAACGGCGCAGAGAGAAATTAGTTCGCGGCCAGACGAGCCTCGATACTGAGGGATGGAGGGCCATCCACGTTAATGCGCGCCGTTTGTTGCATTCCCTGATAATGGACGCACCGCATCCGTCCGTCCATCCGTCCGTCCGTCCGTCCGTTTGTCCGTCCGTCTGTTTGTCGGTCCGTTTGTTTGTCCGCCTGACCGCCTACATGTGCCAAATGACTATACACGAAGATGTGCGTCACATTTTTTCCCCTCCTCGATTTTTCCCCTCTCCCTATGTATTTGTGCTTCCGGCGGCAGCGGTTGGCGGTGTGTCTCTGCAGCCCGCGGGAGCAGAGGATGTGAGTTAGTACAGCACAAACCTGCTGTTTTCTCATTGCGTGTCTCGTCACAAACACACACACACACACAGACAGACATACAGAGACAGTCCGGACGGGCCCAAAAGCGTTCCGTCAAAGATGTCTCGTCCCCGGCGCAGTGCAACCAACACAGACACGCAAAGGGGCCAAACCAATTCCCCACATACCGTACACCGCAGCACCTGCCTCCTCCTCCTCATCCGTGTCCCCCACTTTGGGGCGTGGCGGGGCGCGCGGCAGGATAGAGCGCTAGGGGCATTTATCAGCACTTCCCGGGAATTAGTCATCACCTCGGCCGGGCTGAGGGGACCGTCCTTTCGGTAAGGTTAATCAGAGTGTGCGTGTGTGTGTGTTTTCCAGACTGACCGGTATGGGGCCTAAATCCGGCCGCTCCCGCCCCGTAAATAGCGGTATCTGTGCTTGAGCAGCGAATCGCCGCTCCCCATACTCGTCGACAAAAGGGGGACACCCCCGCCGCACAAACTGAGCATCCTCGTGACATTGCATGTTGACCATTTTCCGCTCATAGGGCCCAAGTGAAACGTGCACCACCGTCTCATTACAATGGGCCTGGCCACTGCCCCGAGGAAAAGAGGAGGGGGGGGGGGAGGCGATACCGCCAGGTCCAGCCCCGAGGGGCATTGTTGTCTGACGTTCCAGCTGTCTTCTTCTGCTGAGTGGCCAAAAACTTTTGGCGGGCGTTTTGGGGCCCTCCCCACGTCCTCCCCTCTCCCCTCGCTGATGCGATTGTCTGGCTGCTGCTACCGTTTTGTGACTCCGCGATGCGGCCGCTGCCGTGCGGCTTTTTGTCGGCTCGGGTGCCGTGCCGGGGGAATTCGGGCCGCAATATTTGAGATTGTGTTGTGCGCTCCGCGTGCCGCCCATAGTTGCCCTCTCTCAGCCTTCCAGCTCACGTTTGACGACGCTCACACCACGCCGGCCCGCGTCCTGGAGGAGCGCCCGCCCCGGACACCCCCGGGCCGCGCCAGACGGGGTGACGCGACCGCCACGGCGGCGTCGCGGGCCTCGAGACCGACGGCAGCGCCAGCAGCGCGCAGCATCCCGCGGACGCGAAAAAGTAAAGATATTTGTTTCCAGGATGGAACAAGTGACAAACCACGAACGGCAAGGTATCAGTAATCTCAGCAGCATCACAAAATTGGGCCCTTTCCATGCAGCATGCCCTCAGCGCATAGGCCTGCGGCCTGCGCGACGCCCGTTGGCGGGGAAAGGTGAGGGGGGCAGTTCGGTAAGGGCTGCCCACCCGGCCCCGAGCCCACCGCAGCAGCGGCCGGCCAGCAACAGCCCCGTCCGCCCGGTCCGGTCCGGGGCGTCGAACCCGTTGCGACGCGCGGCCGGCGAACACACGTTGTTTTTGGTGGCGAGGGTACCACGGCAAAGAAAGGACACAACCTGTCTGGGCCTCGTCTCGCCAACTCGACCGCACCGTGCGCGCCGGCCCTCCGGCCCGGGCGCTTGGACGGGGCCGGCAGGTCCCCGAACGCCGCACGACCGCCGCCACCACCACCACCACCTGCTGCTCCAGACAAAGGGCGAGCAGGGCCCGGGGGACGAGCTGGCTGCCACTCGGCCCGCTTGGAGGAGACGCGCGCGAGGGGCTCTCCGGGCGGCGCGGGGACGACCTCGCCGTCCTGCCGCCGCGTCGCGACCCCGCGCGCAGGACAGAGCGGCCGCAGGAGGGTCGCTCGTTACGGCGGTCCCTTCTCGCAGCCCTTATTTGGAGCGCTCGCCTCGACGCCCCGCCCCGGAGGCCGAGCAGGCCGAGCAGGCCGAGCCCGGTAGCCCAAACTTTGGCGAGCGGCCGTAACGTCGGCATTGTATGCCAAGCAGCACGGAGACGCTCGCGCAAACCATTCACAAGCATATCACATATTGAAGCGCATATTGTGTGCGCCGAGCAGAGCCGGCGACCGGACGCGGAGTCATAGAAATCACTGGTGATAAGTGAAAAGGGTGTACGTCCTCTTGGACTTCCAATAAATCATTCCGGTAAAGCTGAAATGCAGAAGAATGCAGGGAGCAAGAAAACGGAAGTCACCATGTTAAAGCATAGCGATTTCCGGTTTCTTCTTCCCCGCATTCTTCTGCTTTTCAGCTTTACCGGAATGCTATATTGGACTTACGCCCTTTTCACTATTTACCAGTGAAACGAAGAGAGTGGGGGGGGGGCGCTGGGTAGCGCACACGCGGCCGGCAGCGGCGTACGCGGCGTGGCGTAACGACCAGGAGGGCAGCGAGGGCAGGGCGCGCGGGCCAAGAAATCAATCAAAGGCTCTCACCTCCGCTCGCTCACTCAGCCTCTCTCACATACACACACTAGACACACACTTAGAGGGGCGCGCGCCGTGCCCGCGCCGCCGGCCGCCGCTCTCCCGTTTTCGTTTCGGACGACAGCTTGTCTATCGGCGCCCGGCGCGCGGGGGCCAGGCCAGAGCGTTGCACCCGCCCCTCCCCATCACGGGGCTTCTTCTTCTTCAACTTGTAACGTCCAAAACCACACGGCCGGTCCGTCGCGACGCCCTACACCACACAATGGCACACCGCCGCAGGGCCCCAGACGGCAGGAAGAGCGCGTCGCGATTCCAAGAAGAAGATAGAAAAATAATGGCGAAAATTGGGCGCGAACGACTGACCGCGGCCGATCGGTTCTGTTTGTTTACTCGGCCAGCCTTTCCCTTCTGCGCCCTTTGTAGCGTCCAGTCGGACCAACACTCGTCACGGGGCGTCTGCGGTTTGACTCCGAAGCCGTCGACCGGGCCGAAACGAACGCGCGCCGATTCCGCCGTGTCGGCAGAGAAAAGGTAAGGGGGCAGCAAATATACTGAGACCAGCCTAAGGTCGCGACTGGGGTAGCACAGGCGGTATAGGAGTTTGCGGGCGAGAGGGGGTGAGGAAAATCGCGATCTTAGGCTGGTCTGCCTATAACCTAAAACTAGTCGTCACTTTTAGTTCGTAGCTTTAGACTCACCTCACAGGTCGTGTCGGCCATTTGGGAAACGCGAAGTTCTCAGCGGCGAGCGCACAGCGTTGGAGATCTGTAGAGGTTAGGGATGGCGAGGTTAGGATAGCACCGTCCAGAGCTAAGCTCGCAAACATGCACACGTTCTTTGTTTAACACTCACCACGGCAACGTTGAAACAGTGGTTCAAAAGAAATCAAAACTTTGCTTCTCAAATCGAAAACTGTGTCAATAACTGATAGGCAGTTAATCGCGCCCACACGCCGTCACCCGTCCTCGGCTGACTTTGTCGGAACACTGTCGAGTACGGCACGGCACGGCACGGCACGGAAAAGCGTCAGGTCTGCCAACTGCCGAAGAGGTTAGGTCGCGAGGGCGGGCGGGCGGTAGAACCAAAAACAACATTCGAATGCACTAAAAGAATGCTCGCTCTCTTTTTGGGTTGGACGTTCGTCCGGCGGTAGAGCACGCTTCTTTTGGTCAGACGGCGCGGCTGCAGCGGCCCGCAGTGTCCGTACGCCACATTTGGCAGCTTCCGAAAAGTGGTCTCGAAATTACCCGGAAATTCGACGGGGCGGCTCGTCGGCCGACCAGACACCAGACGACGGGTACCGATGGTCGCGTCGAAAGAAGAGAGAAGGAAAGAAGGGGGAAGGGGGGGGGGGTCTGGGACCGCCACAAGCTGGGCCTCGAAAAATGCGGTCCACCCCGTCCCGTCCCGCTCGGCTTTCGGGAAGAGGTTTGGTCCTTTACACCCCGATGCGACGCCGTCTCGGTTTGGAGACATAGACGTCACTCGCGAAAATCGCCGCCTTTCGCGAAGTAATAATAAAAATAACCCCGCGTGAGAATGAATACATACTCAACGCAGGTCGCGACAAAACGACATTGCGCCAATTATTGTTAGCCTTCCCACTTCTTCCTCATATGCGTGTGTGTGTGTGTGTGTGCGCGCGCGCGCGCGCGCGCGCGCGTCGACCACGCCAGACGCCAGAGGCCTAACAGCGAAACACACAAACACACACAGGCACGCACACTAACGCGCGAAATCAATCCGAGTAAGCCTATTAACACACGCCACAGACTCGGATCATGGACTGACCACAGAAATTCGATCCATCACCGTGCGTGAAAGGGATCCCCATTCTCTTCTCACTCCCTTCCATGTTGCGTCTCTTCTCTTTCTTTTTTATTTATTTATTTTCGCGTTTGTGCTCCTTGCTGCTGCCCTGGATCCCCTTGCTCACGCGAGGACATATACTCGCCGGAGCAGCAGGGAGCAGGTCGGACGCGCCCAAAACTCACTGGTGAAAAATTTTAAAAAAAGGGCGTAAGTCCAATAATGGAAAGTCCGTACTTACGCCCTTTTCACCAGTGAACTGATCCCGGTTGCAGCTTAGCTCATTGTGTGTCCCCCGGTACGGCCCGTCGTCGAGGCGGCCCGCCGCCGCTGCTCCGCGTCCTCGACAATTAATTTGTGTCGGATTGGATTGAAACAGGCCCAATTAATCCCGGGGCATGTGAGATGCGGCGACCGCGATTGCGTGGCGGTGGGGGCTGTGGAGTGGAAAGTGACGTCGTCGTAGGCGAGTGTGTCGTCCGCCGCAGCAGCGCGGGCCGTAGGGGGACATGTAGTCGATGGTTATCCTTACAATGATTTTTCGGCCGTTTGGAACTTGGCGCCGCTGGAGAAACGAGCTCGACTGGCGGCGGCGGCAGCAGCGGGGCGGGTGCGTGGCGCGCGAGTTCACAGATCAAGGTGAGGAACTCCTCGTCCACAGCCGGGCTGACGGGAGAGAAGTCGTCTCTCTGGGAAGCGCAAACACGCCGCAATTAGGATGTCCAATTATCGCCCAATAACACAGCGATATCGCGAATAATCACACGGAATTAGTCATAACCTCCCCGGCTGAGCGCCGCGCCGGCTCCCGCGCCTTTCCCATGCCTCCTGGCACTGCGCGGCGCACACAGCAGCAGCGGGGCCCGCCGCGCGCTTCCCGATCCCGGCCGCGCGATTGTGAACAAGGTTGCGTCCAAAAACCTGCGGAGAACGCACAGGAAAACGCATCGACGGGAGATGGCGGGGATCAGGTGCGCGCATTGGCCTGTCCTTAGGATTCCCTGGATTACTCCCCAGACTACCCCAGGACTAGTTCCAGATTGTTTTTCCCGATCACCCCCGGACTACTTCCGCATTACTTCCAGAATACCTCCAGACTGCCCAAAAAAAGTTTTACAGATTACCCTTGGATTACCCCGGATTACCCCTGGAATACCTTAGGTTAACCCCCAGGTTACATTCGGTAACCCCCGGATGGACACAGGTTGCGTCTATCGGGCTACATGAACCGCCAACCGGATCACGCTCGGAAAAGGATGGCGTTGCATGCTGTATGGATTGGCGCTTTTCGGCGAGGGGTTCGCGTTTCGCGAGTTTGAGAATAAAAGGTAAACTCGGCTGTCCGAGGGTGGGGCGGTGAGGGGCATGCGCGTTAAGTACGCTGCGCGCGTGCGGCCCCGGCCAGCCCTTTGCCTCACACGTTTGATGAGATCAAATAGGGTCTTGTCATGGTACGGCGCGGCGGCGGCGGCAGAGCGGCGGGGCGGCGAGGCGCGGGTAGTGATGCTTTTAGCAGCAGCGCGCGCGCCGGCCACACGTAGTGGGCGGGGCGGGGCGGGGCGTGGCGGGGCCTCGGCCGGAGAGCACGTGTCACTGCACTACTCACCGCAACGCCCCCGGAGCCCACGTGGCGGGGCCGGGCCCCATCTCTTAACTCCACTGAGTCAGCAGCGTCAGCAGTGCGCTCCCGCCCTGCTGCCCCCGCCCTGCAACCCCCACCACGACCACCTGTCGGCCACCACGACCACCGACCAGGCCGCCGCCGCCGCGCGCGAATTTAGCAAATAATGGAAACAGGCCGTCAAAACATCCTCGCCGTGTGGTGTTATTTTCGTTTTGAACCGCACAGCTGCCAGAAACGCCAACAACGCTCGCCTTCGTTTCGGAGGGTGAGAAGGAATTAGAGCGCGCGTTTACCCCGTTGTAAAACTTTTTTTCACCTCTTTCTCCCTACGGTGGTTGGTTGTGGTGGCGGTGGTTGTGGTGGGGTGCCGACCGGACCGGGCAATTGATTGTCTTTAATTGTGGAGGGCGCAAATGGAGGGGAATATTGCTTCTGTCTGGCGCCTAATTATGTATTGGGTCCTGGAGCGAATGGACCTGCGTGGTGTAGGCAGGCGAATGTGTGTGTGCGTGTGTGCGTGTGTGTGTGTGTGTGTGTGTGTGTGTGAGTGTGTGTGTTTGAGAGTGTGAGCGCCCTCCTGCCGGTAATGCATCGGCCCAGTATGTGACGGTAAAGTGCGCCGTCACCTAAAGGCCCGTGCGGGCGGGACAAAGGGAGCGAGCAAAGGAGCCCCAAACTCTAATGATGGGGGGCTCGTGCCGCCGCCCCGCCCCGCCATGCCGCCGTGTCGCGCACAGCTTTGCTACTTTGTACCACTTCGGACTCTCCGACTGGCTATGGCTGGCTGGCTGGCTGGCTGGGCGTTTTATAGATAAATTCCTCGATGTGAGCGTAATGTACGATAAAAAAAAGGAGCTGCGCTAACCGAAGTGGACTGTGAGCCTTCAGCAGCCAGTTGGAGAGTGTCGCGTTCCTACCGGCTGTCCGCGCCTCTCTCTCTCTCTCTTTCTCTCGCTCTCTCTCTCTCTTCTGCGGGTATGAGAAACTCGGCGCCGATAGACGGTGGCCGGGGCACTCCGCCAATGACCAGCAGCGATTCAGTGCGAGTCGAAGCTGCTTCTTGTCCTGCCAAACCATCCCAGGTATGCATTCGGGCCGCTTGGCACAGTCCTGGAACTGTCCGCACAGTTACGGTAGTTCGGCGGCGGCGGACTCTGCGGGCAGACTGCGACGGTGGCAGGGCAGGTTCAGGGGCAGCCTGCGCGAGCATAGCAGTGCGGAGCCAATGTGTAGCGAGTGGAGCCGTGCCCGAGCCAGGCGGAGTTAGTTATTCATATTGGCGCTGGAGGCCGGCGCCATGTCCATAAAATCTTCATACAGAGTGAAGAGTCCCGCGAGAGGAGCAGAAAGTTACTAATCGAACTTCCCGTCGCTCTGCGATACGGAACGGTTTCCGCAACGGGGACGCAGACAGCTACATATCGCAACAAATAACAAATGTAAGTTTTTCTTTTCCCTGAAATCCAAAAGCAGCGTTGGTGTACGAATTGATCATACAACAGTTTGACTTAATTAAACCGATAAGAAAAAAATAAAAACAGAACTGAAAAACACATACAACCGAAAACACATAAAAAACGACAACACAGTACAATAAAATCAACTAAGTACAACTGAACACATATTTGTCTCGATATTTGCTCTATAGTAGTATGGTTACCAGGTCGCTTCTGAAGCGGACGAGCAGGACGACGACGACGAAGAGGGAAAGAAATATACGGGTTTATCTCGAGCAATTATCACCATGGCACCCATGGCAAGCGAGCTTGGCGACCACCGCGGCGTGGCG